ATTATTATTATTATTATTATTATTATTATTATTAATTTCTGGAAAATTGCTCTTCTTCTCTCCTTAGTACATCCTGGAGCCCAAACCACAATTACTGAATACTGTAAAATCTAGGGATATTAAAAATGGTCAGTATTAGGAAGCAACTAAAAACCAAAAGAAAATGGCTGAATGAAAGTATCCTCGGGAAGGAACCCCCGCTCCTGGCCAGGATGAGCTCCCAGGAGGCCACACACTGTGCAGGGCACAGCAGCTCGGGCAGAGGCAAGGCCCCTCCCTGTGTCTCAGTCTCCTCATGTGACAGATTCATAGATGGCTATGCCTCCTCCCAGTATGAATAATCCACAATTCTATGGCTAGAGTGTCACACACAAGTCTTCCTTTGCTTGTTCAAACAGGTCCTCTGCCTAGGCCTGACATTAGATAAGGCAGCCAGCCCCAGCATTCCAGGGCTCAGGCCACGCCAGGCTCTAGGCACCGAGCACATCTGCGGTCAGAGAAGTGGAGGACCAAGTCTGGGGGGCATGGGTTCCCTGGGTGGAGCAGACCGACTGCGGCATCCCCACCCTGAAGCAGAGGCAGGCTGGGCGATCACTCACCTGCTGAGGAAAGGCTGGGCCTGGCCTCATGGACTGCTGGTCAAAGCTCACATCTGGGAAGAAGCTGGTCAAAGATGAGCCCTTCAAGGAACAAGGAGTGGACCGTTTAGCTTGGAACTCGGGGCAACATGAGCGTTCCCTCCTGACCAGTGTTCCTGGTAGGACTCACCTGGGCTGTGAGGAGCTGGAAGTCTGACTGCGGCAGCGATGAAGCTGCCTGGGGCTGTTGAGCAGGGGGCTCCTGGGTGCAGGGCTGCTGCAGCAGAGGCTGGGGGAGGTCCTGGGGCGTGGGGTACGGGGGCGGAGGGGACACCTGCGCTTGAGCTTCTGCGGGCAGGAAGGAGAGCGGGCTTCGATCTGAGGACACCATCTGAAAAACAAAGCCACTGACTACTTAGCTTCTGAGTTTCTAGTTTCTAAGTCCTTTATGATTAGGGAATGTCAAAGTGAGGAAAAACCCTGAGATTTTTTCCCCACCCTGGTATTCTGCACTATGCTCTGAGAAGCCTGCTTCTGTTCTTTCAAAATATATTTTAAATCTCACCTCCCCACAAAGCATTTTCCATTCAATGACAATTTCTATTGTCTTGAAAAGACAAACAAAACAAAACACAGCCAATTTAACCAGTTTCCTCTCAGTTTTCTCAGTGAAAATTGTGTTTGTTTTTTAAAGCCATAACTTCTGGTTAAAAATGGAAAACTGAATAAAGCATTTAGCTCTGCTGTCTCCCGAGACTCTACTAAGACCCCAAAATAACATTTAACAACAATAAACAACACTAAAACAATAATAAATAACACTAAAATGATAATAAACAACACAGGGACAAAGAAAGTGGGAGAAGAAAATAGCAAGACGATTTGGAAAAAGAAAAGCAGATGGACAAGTAGGAACTGGCTGAGCAGAGCTGAGAAAGCCAAATGCTAAGCTGGCAGCCGGGGGAGAATCTAGAGGCAATCTGCCTGACATCACAGCATCCCTAGCGGGGCCCGAAACTGCGGCAGCAAGCAGCAGTGGGTGAAGGTGCAGCTACCCGGAGGATGCGGATGAAGCTGACGTGGGCAGTGGTTAGGCTTCAGAGCCCCTGCCTGGCGGGAGACTGGGGGCTGCACTCTGGAAAGAGTACAGCGCAGGGTCTTCGCACAGGCTGCACCAGACCCTAGAAGGTGGGGCACCACCGAAAACAGGGTTTATGAGAAAGCTCACTATCAAATCTTGAGCCTTCCGCCTTTCTTTCCCAGCTTAGCTCTCAGAGTGCTGGAATCCAGGCAAGAGCCGGGCGCAAGATCAGGAGAGTGTCCTTTGGGGATCTGACCAGCCTAGGAGAAAATCCAACTTACGACACCAGAGGTTCCCCAAGAAAATGGCTGTTAGATCACTCTACAATGAAGACCATATTCAAAAAGCCCATCCATCTATACAGAGCTTCCAGCCAGTTTGTGTGTGTCCTGTTCTTAAATAGGAGTACGGTGCCAAGGATCACCAGCCCATGAAGAAAGCATCTGAATGACAGTCAGAGACCCAAGCAGACAAACAGAGAAAAGAAACTTGGAGAAATCTATGGAGGAAGAAGTAGTCATGAAAAACAAAATTATCATTATAATATGTAGGGCTGTTAAAAATCCTTATCTGTTAGAAATACATATTAAAATATTTGTAATACATATCTCAATATACATTTTTATGAAGTAGGTATATGGGTGAAACAAGATTACAAAAATGTTGACAGTTGTTGATGAGAAATCATGGGTACAGAAGGATTCATTATCTTATGTTCTGTACTTCCACGCAATTTGGAAAATTTCTATTACAAAAAATAAATGTAAAAGAAACCAGGGGGGAGGATATAGCTCAGCGGTAGAGTGCCATGCTTAGTATGCATGAGTTCCTGGGTTCAATCCCCAGTGCCTCCATCAAAAAATAAGTAAGTAAATAAACCTAATTACCTCCCCACCTGAAAAAAAACAAAAACAAAAACCAGAACAAAAATTACCACCAAAAACCTCAGAGAGGTAAAAGATGATGTTGCATCCATGGAATAAGTATGATGTTATAAAAAAGGGAACATTCAGAGAAGAAGAAGAAAATTATTGGCTATTTAAAAGTATGAGAACAAAAATGAAAACCTCAACATAAGGTTTGAAAGATAATGTTGAGAAACTCTTCCGGAAAGCAGAGAAAAAAGACAAAGAGAGAAAAGAGGAGAGAAAAAAATTGGATGTCAGAGGAAAAGTACAGATGTGCAACAGTCATACAATAGGAGTGCAGGAGGAAAAAGAGACAACTAAAAGGAAGAAATCATCAAAAAAGTGATTATGGAAAATCTTCCAGAAATGAAGGAGATGAGTTTCCAGATTGAAGACACCCACCATCCAGCCAGACTCCTATCAAGCCACATTATCTTAAGTTTCAGAATACTAGGGACAAAAAGAAGATCCTACAAGTCTCTCGAGGCAAAAAAGGGGATTTCATTCAAAGTCTGATGAATCAGAATGATACTGGATTTCTCAGGAGCAACTCTAGAAAGTAAAAAGCAATGGATTAATACCTTCAAAATTTCAGGAGAAAATTATTTCAAGTTTGAATTCTATACTTAGCCAATTATTCATTAAATGGTGGGTAGAATGAAGGCACATTTAAGTCATACCAGGTCACACATACTCTTTTTGTAAAGCTATTGGAAGATTAGTTTTTAATTGTATTGAAAGATCTACCCAATGCAGAGACTTTGGGATTGAATAAATAAAATACACAAAGAAAACCAGACCAAGAGAAAAGTAAGACATTTATTAACTCCCAGAAGAAAACAAATGCTCATTTTGTTATTTTATAGTAAACTACATGGTTCCACTCTGGTTGCATTATTATAACCATGAAAACACCAAACACTGAGTATTGCTCTAATCAAAATTATAACAAATCACCCTGTGAGGATGAGGAGGGTAAGTAGGAAATATGTGTGTGCAGTGTGGAGTGAGAGGCTTGAGAGATTTGAAAGAACTAAATCCTAATCTTCCATGGTAGGATGTCATTAGATAATCCCTAACACTAAAAATCTAGAGCAAAATAATAAAATAACACCATTATACCAGACTGCCTAAAATGGTTGAAAACGGCCATCTCCAATGCAGTTTGGTGCAGCCACTGTGGAAAACAGTATGGAGACTCCTCCAAAGACTAGGAACAGACTTACCATATGACCCAGGAATCCCGCTCCTGGGCATATATCCAGAAGGAACCCTACTTCAAAAAGACACTTGCACCCCAATGTTCATAGCAGCACTATTTACAACAGCCAAGACATGGAAACAGCCTAAATATCCATCAACAGATGACTGGATAAAGAAGATGTGGTATATTTATACAATGGAATACTATTCAGCCATAAAAATGACAACATAACGCCATTTGCAGCAACATGGATGTCCCTGGAGAATGTCATTCTAAGTGAAGTAAGCCAGAAAGAGAAAGAAAAATACCATATGAGATCACTCATCTGTGGAATCTAAAAAACAACAACAACAACAAAAAAAACCCAAAACCAAAAAGAACATAAATATAAAACAGAAACAGACTCATAGACATAGAGTACAAACTTGTGGTTGCCAAGGGGAAGTAGGGTGGGAAGGGATAGACTGGGAGTTCAAAATTTGTAGATACTGACAGGCATATGTAGAATAGATAAACAAGATTATACTATATAGCACAGGAAAATATATACAAGATCCTGTGGTAGCACACAGTGAAAAAAATGTGACAATGAATATATGTATGTTCATGTATAACTGAAAAATTGTGCTTTATGCTGGAATTTGACACAACATTGTAAAATGACTATAACTCAATAGAAAAATGTTTAAGAAAAAGAAAAAAAGAAAAAAGAAAGAAGAAAAAGAAAAAAAGAAAAAAAAAAGAAAATGGCCATCTCCAGGCAATGAGAAATATGGCTGGTGGCGGCTAGTGGGGGAGGAGAATACCATTGTTGTTTCATAACAAGCCCTTTAGAACCATTTGACTTTTTTAAACTATGTGCACGAATAACACTTTTTTAAAAAAAAATCTAAATATTAAGCAAACAAAAGATGAGAACATCTGAAGGAGATGCTCTCTGTCCCTCCAGTCTCCTTAAAACGTAGCTGGAAAGCAAGAGTGATTTTTTTATACCCTATAAAATAATCTTGCAAAATAGAATTAAAGGCAACCCAATAACGTAAAAAGAACCATTAAAAAAACAATTATGAAATACGCCCTGACCTTCTCCCAAAAGGGATTACTCACATAATAAAGATCCCGCAGCTAGTAATTGGTACAGAGTGACTAATGACTGGGTCTGCTAACTCCTTCCGCTGTATTCTGTCAACTTCTTGCTAAATCGTTACTCATTTACAGTGAAGTGATGAGTAAACGATGTTATAATGTATTTAGGGCGTGACCAACAGGTTGAAAACATATTCACTGGTGACTGTGGTAAGGAGAACCACCCTAAGATCTTAGAATAGAAACAAAGTCAACAAGTCAGAATATGACGTTTCCACCCTAAATTTCTATAAAAGGCTTCTGACTTCAAAATGTGCCTCTTTCTGAACAGACTTCTTCCAGTCCTTTTATAGAGATATGATCCTATCATACCTAGTACTTCATCAGCAAGAGAAGCATTGCTTCTTAAACCTGTCGTTATAATTAGGAAAGAGGTCTAATCCAGTATCAAAGTTTCAGGAAGGTATTTAAATGTCTTCTTTGGCTTTCCTCTGTGACTTAAAGTACTCATACAGTCAAGTATTGATTTTCCATACCAGATTAAAAATCCCGACCTGGCTTCCCCAAGCTCTCTTAGATAGACCTGGATTGTGTTCCTCAACACCCTACTCTGTCCTCCAACCCAAACTTCATGAGTTAGTGACTGCAAACTGTTCAGTGCTTGCTTAAGAGTAATCAACACAACAAATGTTATTAGAAAATCATTAGTGCATTCTGAATTATTCGATTTTGCATATAAGTGAGAACTGACTGCACTGGAGACCTCACGGACAATGCTTGGTGTGAGGACCTAATCCGACTCCTATATGCTTCAGTCTGTTTCACTGTGAGTTTGTGGCTTTTACCTGCGAGGCAGGATACGGGTTCAGTGGGCTGGTTGAAGAGAGCTGTCTGCTGAAACCTTGATGTGCTTCAGGGCCAGGAGAAAGCGTGAGAGGGCTGACAGGGGGCTGCCTACGCCGAGAGGGGCCGCTCAGGTTTGTGGTGGAAAGGGATGGGTTGCTGAGGGAGAAGAGACGGAGCGAAGGGTGAAGAGCAGAGGCGCTGGGGGCAGATGCCTGGGGGTGGCTGTTCAGGGAGGAGGAGAGCGCTGTCTTATTGAGCGTGGCCTGGATGGAGGGGTTGCTCCGAGAACTCTGGAGACCTACAGGATGACAAATTCACAAGTTACTTGTCATAATTTCAGACCAAATCTTCTGTTTTCCAAAGATTAAAGAAAACTTAACTTCCTACGATTTGTATTTGATGATGATGCTGTATGAAAAAGATCTCCTGGGCAACTCTCCTACTGAAAATGGTGCCAACGGCAAGGAAAAGACGCGCCCAGACTGAGAGGGACGATGCCATCAAGATGAGAATGGCTTTTTCTTACGAAGAATGAGAGTGTGCGAACCACCCCTGGGAGAGCAGGACACGGTGAGCAGCGGCAGCACAGACCAATGTCCGGTGTGCTCTGCTCCAGCCCAAGGAGCACACCCAGGGCTGCACAGCTGATTCTGTTTAGGTCCCCCGGCTGCCTCTGTCCCAGGTGTCTAGCCAGGATGCTCTGCTACCTTTGGAAAACATCCTTTCACTGAGAGTTGTGGCTCTTGGGGAGCTGCCTCAATGGACCTCTAAATACCCCGAGCACAGCAGAGAGTCACAGGAGGGGACACTCCATGTCTCCTGCTTCAGGGTTCTTTTCTTTTTGTTTTTCTGGCTCTTGAGAAATTGTTCATTATAGTCTATTCCAATTTAGGGAAGAAAAAGTCTTTGCTGGTGATTTGTTTCACGTTAGGGGGAGGGTAGTAAATTTTAGCGAGAACAAGAGAGTTTGGAAAGGCATTTCCATGACACAGGCTGCTAGGGCACCAGCTCCAGGGACCCTGTCCTATGCCCTGCTGGCTCCCTGGCACCTGGCCCGGGGCCTGGCGGAGTGGCTTCACTCTAGGAATGAGTCCTCTGCTGCTGCTGTGCACCTGAGCTGGCGAGCTCCGTGTTTCAGAGCCCAGCCCACCATGCTCGTACCAGCAGTTGGAGCGAGCAGAACTGTGTGCTGTCTCATGTTGGTACAAAAAAAACTAAGTGTTACATTAAAATTATGACAATGAAGAAATGACCAAAAAAAAAAGCATTTTTAGCAGGCAAATGATTTTTTAAAGGTAGGAAAGTGTCTCTGATAAAACTGTAAGCAGTTATCCCACCATTCAACTCCCCATGAAAAGGTCAGAGAGTTGGCTGGCTCAAATAAGAATTAAAATTAGAGCTAAAGATATAAATTTAGATTTAAAAAATCATTCAGAAAGAAAGCACAAACATCTTAAAAAATATATGTGAGGCTTTGTGTACCATGCACTTTAAGGAGTGCATAGAAACTGTAAAAACTTAAGCACTGGTTCTGACATATTCTGGAAAAAATAATGCTTGTTTGAGGAAAATAACAGCCAGCAATTATACATAGGATTTTCAGCTGAAGCAGTGTCCAAGGAGGTACTGGAGAATGCCAGCTTCCCCAAGACCCAAAGGAGCTAAGTGCCAATGCTGCTTTACTTATGTGACCTTAGATGTCCTTGTTCACAGAGACTTCACCAAGGTCACGTAAGTAAGGCAGCAGAATAATAAAATGACAAAAAAAATAAAAAAATAAAAAAATAAAGGTGGTCTCTGATATCAGTTCTTCAAACCTAAAATTATGTTGTACAATGGCAGCATCGCTGTAATTGACGGAGAACCTTCCAGGTGACCACACTGAAGGGGACCACTCTCATTTGAGTGGTGAGTTCTGATTTGCATGGACAAGTCTTACTGAACCCAGAATGGAAACCAGCACAAGCACTTCCCCCGCTGACAGACCATCACTGAGGATTCCTTCTAAAAGAAATGGTCCACCATTCTTAGAACCCTTATGGCTGGGGGCCGTCCTGCAACACTGGGAGTAAGAGAGATTAATTCCTGTCCGAGACATTGACAAGAGCATCTGTCAGGGTTCAGGCAAATGTAGTCATGTTTCAACCTGGGGGCTGAGCTGCAGGCACTCAAATTCATACAGTAACACCCAAGTCACATCGTGGGTAGCTTTTTAATACAGCTACATGCCACATCTTTAAGCACTTCTGAAAATTTGAACCAATAATTTTGAACTGCGGTAGGTTATTTAATATATACATCTATTAAGTGTAAGTATTTTCCCTGTATCCGCTGTAAATTTTCTAAAATTCAAAATATTCTCTTTAGAAAGCCAATGGGAAATTGGAGGGACCTAGAGAGACATCTGTAATTATTAAATATCATCATAAATTGATAACAGCCACAAACGTTGTTCCACTAACACAGAACAGAACAGACACTTATTTCTCGACTCTCAAATCTTATTCTCCAAGTCCCTGGGACACACGGGCTGGTGAAGACAATGAAGAATGAGCTTTAACAGAGCAGCTCCAGAGTTCATCAGATCCAGGAGAAATAGAACCATCAAAATGAAATGCCAGCAAGTTGAGAGCTATAGGAGCAGGTAGTTATCATCTCCAACCCAGAGGGAGTCGCTCTAATTTGGTGACTTACTAACATGCCACCTGGCCAGGGACCACTTACAGGTAAGCCACCAGAGGACATAGGCAAGGTCCTTACGGAGTGGGGAGCGCTTACCAGAAGAGCTTCTTATGCCCAGGTGAGTCATGGCAGCAGGGAGGTTGCCCATGCTGTTCCCCACACTCATGCTACCGAAGAGGTGGTCACTGCTGTCCAGGGAGGCTGGCAGGGGCGCTGAGTAGTGGAGGTTGGTGAGATCTGGCAATGACCCCCCAGTGTTCAGGGTTCCCAGAAAGGGTGAGAGGCCTATGTTTTGACCATTGTGTGGAAAAGCACTGAAAAAAGAAAGATAAAATATTATTTTAAAAATGCATTCAGCTCTTGGGAAATAGTACCTGTATGATACTCTTCCTCTTTAAATAAAAGCAGTGGGTATCAAAGATCTAAGTCCTTGTGCTGACTCTGCCTCTTCCTCGTTCTGAGAACTTGCATCCCTGGCTTAACTTCTCTGAAGTGCAATTCGCTTACCTGTTAAGCTGGACTAAGGATGTCATCCATGCCCACGTTACAGGAATGTTTTCCGAGACAAGATTAGATTACTGATGCAAAAGTACTTTGAAAATTATAAAGCACTGTATAAACTACGAGGTACTGCTGTGTATTTATATGGTTCTTTTCGCTACATTTCTAAATTATCTTTCCTACCCAAAAAAAAAGTATCTCTGTATCAACCAGATACCTTCCAAGATATACTTTTTCAATTGCAGTTTTCATAAACTTTAAAGTGAGGAAGAGATGTTACCATTCATTTGTCAGAATCTGCTGGGCGGTCACTCTGGGCCCAGGCACTCGGCTCAGTGCTGGTGGTGTGAGGGTGAGTGAGCGCAGTGTGCGCGTTCACAGTCAGGCCCGTCCCTAACATCTGCAGGCCTGGAGGTCTGCACAGTCTGCTTAAATTTTTTAAAGTTATAAATCAAATCAACAAATCCTTAAGCGAATTATGTTTCATGTTTCTTCCCTTGACAAACTGTACCTTCGTAATTGCTGGGAAGGCCAGATTCAAGCTTAGAATTCTCTGACTCCTTGGAGCTCTGCACGAGAACATTAGAAGAGGCAGCCCTGGTCCTCAGTCCACCCCACCATCTCTCCTCGCCAGCCCTATTCTGCGCTGCAGGGCACACAGGTGGCTATCCCAACCTAGGGGCTAAGATCTGGCCATACTCTGCATCCCCCGGGCCCTCCTCCCAGGCCAGGTGGTGTGTTCCCCTGTGGTACCTGGGACACTTGATCTTGAGAGTGGAGTCCTCTGTGGGAGTGTGGGGCCCAGGGAGGGGCTGCCTGGCCCAGGTCTGAGGGGGCACTGCTCGTGAGGTCCACAGGCAGACCAGAGACAGACTGGTAAGGTAAGCAAGTGCAGGATGGCAGGAAGCTTGCTGGGCCAGGCCTGACACAAGTGATGGCTGGGGACACAGAAGCAGGAGTTGTCATTGTCAGGACAGGTGGGGAGGGAGGGTCTGACCAAGTACGTGTGCTCAGGGAACTGCAGGCAGCTTGGCACAGCCATGGGGTCACGAGTCAGGGTAGAGGGGGGAGTGCAGAGAGGGCATGAGGTAGGCGAGGCAGGTGAGTGAGGAAACAATGGTATGATAATGCGCTGTTCTGAAGAGTCTGGACCAGGGACTGCGGGACACAGGGAGCCCAGGTTTAAGCTGGAGAATGACATTTGAGAAGTGCCACTGTGGTTACACTGTGGAGGATGGCTTAAGGGAGCAGAAAGAGAAGAGGGAGAACAGTCAGAAGCGACTGTGTGGGCCAGGTCTGATCTGGGAACAAAAGAGAGATGTTGAAGAGGAGAATGGCTGGAGGAAGGTACCATTAGCCAGGAACAGGGGAAGATAATGAATTCGATTGAAGACACTTCATTCAACACAGCACGCATCAGCAGGTGCCTGCCAGGTGCCAGCCACTGGCATTAGGGCCTCAAGAGACTCGGACAAAGCAGGGAGATAGAGCCACAAAGAAAATAACTTGCAATATAATACAATTCAGTAGTGCAATGACGGAGCCTGATGGATAAGGTGTGGAGGGAACAACCAGCAGGCAGAGGGGGCTTCCTGGAGGACATCTGAGCTGAGCTTCAAGCCTAAAGACTTCAGATGATCTAGACAGGAAAATCATTTCAGGCTGAGTTCCCAGCATGGGCAGAGCAGAGAGGCACGTAACCACAGAGTGTGCCCATGGAACTTAGCCACCGCAGGAAGGTCAAGTTTAGGAGGGGCGGATGTGATGGGAGATGGGACCAGAGAAGCAGGCAGAAAGCCCGAGGACTGAACTGACAAGCTGATGACAAGAAGCCAGTGGGAGGTTGAGAGCAGGGAAGAGACATAATCATTCCCAGGACAGCATGGCTCACAGACTTGGGGGAGGGAGGGCAGGGTGTAAGGAGCAGAGTCTGGAGGCAGAGAGGTGAGTTATGATGCTGCTGAATAATCAGGCGAGACATAATGAGAGCGGAGGGACTCGAGAGATGCTCAAGGAAGTACTCAAGAACGACTCTTGACTCTCTGGAGCGGGGACTGGTGGAACCACGCCAGCCGGGCCGGGGGACACGGAGGTGTGCAAGTAGGCTGGGGATGAGGGTGGGTGGTGTGGATAAGACAATGATTCTGTTTGAGACACTGAGGTGAGATGGAGGGGCACGTCATGGGATGTTTCTTGAGCAGAGATCCATTGGAACAGTGTGGGTGGGAGCCAGGTCACAGGGGGTTGAGGAGTGGACAAGGAGCCTCAAGAGTAAATATGCTTTCAAAAAGTGTGGCTGAGAATTCTGGAAATGAGAAGGAAGTAACTAAAACAGAATGCAGGGTCATGGAAGGGCTTTTTAGTGCAGAATCCTTTAAACGCAGAGCGGAAACTTAGTAGAGAGGGAAAGGCTGAAAATACAAGAGAGGGGAGGATAAAGCAGAAGAGAGGTCTCACAAAGGGCCCGGGACATGGGCGAGGCAGTCAGCCTTGAATAGGAGGGACACCTGTGTCTCTGAGACTAGAAAAAAAGATGGCCAGAGGGGAATCGGGGCAGGAGGGAGGCTGAGCATTCACTCCCAAAGGCCTCTTTTTTCTGGGTAAAAGCAGGGCTGGGATAACTGTGGGGGCTTGAAAAGAAGTGGGGAAGCAGGAAGGGTGTTCAATTTGATGGACGAGGAAGAAGGACAATTTCGGTTGTAGAAAAACTGAATGTGACATCTTGTCTCTCAGATGGCTGGTTGCAGGGTTAAAGGTCAAGGACTAGGAAATAAACGTGAGAACCCAGAGCTGCTCACCATGAGGGCAGACAGGCTCTCTGACTAAGAGGAAAGATCCATTGGATGCTCAGGTGGGGATGAGGCAGAAGGAGGAAGAGAAGCGCAGAAATAGCATCTGGTGGCACAGAGCAAGGATGGAGATGGTAACTGGGACTGGCATGACCCAGGTCAGCAGTGACATTCAAGACGATTTCTCTCCAGTTGAGAGAAATACAAGTTTTAACCTTCCAATTATGGTTGCTACCTGCTGGAATCGTCTCTTGGAGCTGACATAAGGCAGGCAATATTCTCCCCGCTTCAAAACCCTCCGATGATTCTAACTTACTTCAGGCCACCCCAGCCTCCGTACTGTCCAGGCACACTCCTGCCTCAGGGTCTCTGTACTGTTCCCTCTGCCCTTCCCTTCACTTCATCCCGGGTTCTGCTCATTTATCATCTTATCAGAGAGGCCCTCCCAGACATCCATCGCTGCCTATCTCCTTACTTGGCTTTCTTTTCCTTCACTGCATTTACCAACACATGACAAACATTATATTTATTTGCTTAATTGTATTTGCCCATCTCACTCCACTAGAGCATTAGCTCCTTGAAAGCAGGGACTCGATCTGTTTTGTTCCCTGCTTTACCCCAGAGCCTAGAATTAGGGGCTCAGTAAACACCTGGATGAATAGGAGTCACTGAACGTAAATTCTACCTCTAACATAAGAGCAAGAAAGCAACTTTCCTTATCTAGGAAACACTTGCTTCAAAACCCTCAGGGGTGGGGACAAGGGGTTTAAAGCACTGCAGACCCTTCTGTAAGGCAGGCCTTTGGGGCCTTGATCATTTGTTTGTCTGAGGACTGAGCCATAACGCGTTTTTAAGAAGAATCCTGGCCGCATCTGTGGGGACGTCCCAACCCGAGGGATGCTGGCCTTCTATCAGGCATGTGTCCCGGCAGGCTTTCTGACTTCCTGACCCTCTGCTCAGTGGGCCATTAATGACATGGGTTTATGTTTAACTAGCCAAAAAGAACTTCTGCACTCCAGCCACTCAGTAGGAGCGCCCTGAACTCGCTGCTGCTAACGTTCGTGGAAGGCTGTATTAATGGGGAGATGGTAAATAAGGACAGCCTGATGTAGACTTGGCTCCTCTCCAGACCCTCTAAGCCCCGCGCTTGTTCTCAGCTACATCAGCAAGGGTGCTGTTTTCAAACCACGTGATTTTGGCCCTGGAAAGAGTTGCTGTTTCTGATCTGGTTTTGGTCCAAGCCCATGGGGCAGCCCTGATGGACACTGTGGCATCTCAGGACACTGTCCATCACATCCCAAGGGGTTGGTCCCCTCGGTGCAGATCTGTAGGGGAGAGAGTCCTCCCAGCGCCTCAGCATCAGGGAGCGGCTGCTCCACCCCGGCTGCTGCCGTCTGTCATTCAGCGATGGCTCTGTCTCCGTGTCACTGTCACCTTCGAGTTCTTCCTCAGTCCCCACTTCCTCAGGAACGTCTTTATCTTTTAGTGCTATACATGTGTTTGTAAGCTGTCTCAAATCTTTCAGGAAGTTGTGCACTTCTAAGTACGTTAATTAATTGTTCCGCAGAAACTTCCTTTTTTTTCTTTTGTGGGAGGGGGGAGGTAATTAGGTTTGCTTGTTTGTTTGTTTGTTTGTTTGTTTATTTTAACAGAGGTACTGGGGATTGAACCCAGGACCTCGTGCATGCACACACTCTACCACTGAGCTATACCCTCCCCCCACATGGAAACTCTATATTGCAAATTTACCTACTTATTCATCTTCCATCAGTTTTTAAAATTGTAGTAAAATATCCATAACATAAAATTCACCCATTAAATGTACAGTTCTGCGGCGTCTGGCACATCTGTAGAAACTTTCTTAGTTGACTTCTGTGTCACCGAGTTGCCAGGTGCCCAGGGCTGCCAATGGAGCGAGGGTGGTGTGCCCCTCTCGACGCCTGCACACTTCTGCTCCTGCCCGTGGGGTCATGTGTTTACTGAGAGCCAGTTGTGTCATTCTCAAACATATTTATGGCAGTTTTATTTGTTATTGCAGTTATGTAATATAATTACTTCAAACAAGTGAAATATGAGTACCTAAAGAGAGCTGTTGCTTTTATGAAAATTCAGTTGACTTTCAACTTATATATAATGAGTGAAGTTTCTCAGGGTTCTCTGATGACTTTCCTTTTGGATAAGCCTTCAGGACAGCCTCTGAGCCATGAACGGAAAGAAGATTACTTACCTGCCTCCTCCGACGTCACAGGACCGAGGGCGCCCTGACAGGGACTGGATCTGGGGAGAGATACAGAAAGCGGGGCTTACTCATCGTGAAGCCAAATTCAAGTTTTTAAAAAGTGTCTTTGCAGGTATCTTGGAGCTCCAGTCAGTGCAAGGCAGAGCCAGCGCTTGTAAATAAGCATCCTTGCAAAGCAGCCGTTTAAGTTTTAACTAGACTTTTTCAGGCACAAGGGAGATGTAATGTTAATGCATTTTCTTAATTTTGATACTTTCTTAATTTATCTTCTAGATGGAGATTATTTCCTTCCAAAAGGCCAATATTTTTCATATAGAGCTTTAAAACAAACGTTTATTTTCCAACTGGCCTGAGAGGAAAAGAAGAAAACAGAAAAACAAAACAAGGTGAAAAGAGAAGAAATCACCATTAGAAGAAAATAAATATTTCAACTAGAAACTAAGTTTCAGGACGAGGGGGAGGAACTTTTATTTTGTTTATTGCTGTATTCCTGCACCTAGGATGCCTGGCAACAGGTGCTCAATAAATGTATGTTTAAAAAGATGAATGAACCTATTGACTTAACTCTTCTCCCAGAAATGATTTATGGAGACCTGGAAGTCCGTAAGAACTAGGAGAGGTAAAGACCTCTTCCGAGAGAGAGCAGTCCCTGGTACTGGGGCAAGAGTGGGTGCCACTGCCCCCTTTGTGGGGAAGATATCACGTCCTCTGATAAAAGCCTCCAAAAGCACCTGTGCCTTCCACAGCCACAAACACAGTGGGCTGCTTCTATATTTAAGTATGTGAATTTAAACCACCTCTTTTTTCCCCCAAAAGATTGAACACCATAACATCTTGCTTTTACAAAAGACCTCTCGAGCCCACCCTGATGCTGACGTTGCCTTTGGTAGACTTGGCAGCAGAAACTGGAGCTGAACCAAAGGAAGCCTAAGCAGACAGGGATGGTCAAGTCCCAGGCAATACAAGCAACGTCAGCAGCGCGTCTGACGGCTGGGGCAGAGGCACTGTTTTCCTTCAGGGGCAACAGCTTCCCCATGGGAAGAAAGGCCAATTCAGGCACCGTGGGACCTCCTTCTCTTCCAAGGCAGGTGAGTTGACAGAGAGAGCCATGGTGGACGTCAGGGACAAATACTCAATGGCTCTTAGAAACCATTAAATGGAGGACTTCCTTTCTGACTTCCAGAGGACTATCTCATGGACAGCAAATCTGGACAGAAGCTGGTGACTGCTACACAAAACAGAAAAATCTGCCTAAGACTTGTAACCAGTTTTCAGCGCTTCTAGTAACTGGAATGAGATATGAAGAACCAGCAGGCTTCTCTGAATGAGTAAATTCACATGAAAACTACAAAGTCCAGAGATCACTGTACTAATGTATCAACACAATTGTGATCACTTTTATTTGAGCCATCATTCCCTCGTATAGGCTTCCTGTCTCTGTCCCCAGACATCCGCTCTGCCTTTTTTCCCAATTCCTCTTGTTTTCTCCTCCACGGGTCTTGACGATGACCTCTAAAGTACAAATATTCAGTGCCAACAAACATAGCTGAGTGCTGTCCACCCACCTCCTTGGTCTCCCACAGCTGTTTTGGCAGCGGCTTGGGAACGTTTACCAGATTCTCTTCTTTCAGTGGGCCAGGGAAAGGCACGGCTGGAAGGGAGAAGAGGCACATTCACTGCATTAGAAGGCAGCCAGCCTGCCTTCGGCTAAATTATCTTTGTAAACATGACTGATTTAACATATATGCATGGACCGTCTACGAGGGAAGGTGTCTTGAGCATTACTGTGGGGCCTGCACAGATGAGTAAGATGTGCATTCAGCCTCTGAGGACTTTAAACTCTAGTCAGGAAAGGCCAACACACGAATACCCACCCACGACTGGAAGGAGAAGCGAGGGGAGACTCGCAAGCACGAAGGGCTGGGTGCTGCTGAAAGGGCAGACCAGGAAGAGCCCATGCAGGCCTCCGGACTTCAGCACTGAGAAGCCTTTTAGGGATACAGGAATCAGGCTTTCCCAGAGAGGGAAAAATAAGGACAAAGGCCTAGAGAGAGAGGGAGTGGTGGGCAACCATTGAGCAGAGCTGTTCTTTTCAACTGGAGTGTAGGGTAAGTGGGGAGGTGGCAGGAAGTAAAGATTGGGGGACTCGAGGCCAGACCAGGGAAGGCCCTGCAGACTTGGCAAGGAGAGAATGAAAAAAAAGGATGAGGAGAGAACCACAAAAATCTAGGAGAGATGAAATGGGCATGGTAACAGAGAGAGAGGAGGAATACCTCATGGCAGACATGGTGGCAGTGAGGCGCCTTGGGCACGGGCTGGGAGTGGCAGGTAAAGAGGAGTCGAGAACCCAGAGGACTGGGCTGGGCGGCTGAAGGGCCCTGTCCTAGCTCATCAATGCTGTAAAACAGCCTGGGTCTGTACCGAGGGGCCATTCCAGGGCCTTCTGCTGTTAACGTTCTGCCAGGTAAAATGGGAGGGCTGAGCCATCAAACAAGGGAAAACTTTTTGTTCTTGGAGAGAGACCAGGAGATAAGGGCCAGCTGTCAGGGATGAAGGGACCTGATGTCAGGAAGGGCATTCATCAGAGAGACGGGTGACTGCTGAGAACTACCAATGCTGTTAGGTTCTGGTGACCATGTCAGCTCCAGGATGACTGTCATGACTGTCCTGTCTTAGCCCCACACAGGATAACAGACCCCAGAGACAAGCCACTTAAAACAGAGACTGAAATTTCACAGTAAATTCTGAGAACGGTGCAACGTTCCCTGCAGTTAACCTCCTCGGTGCCATCACTACGGCAGTCATCTCTGCCTAGACAGTCCAGGCTGTATCAGTGAGCCCAGGGGTCTTTCTTAATCCTGACATTCAAACCACTCTCTTTTGGAAAAGCTTATTTTGTCAACATCCTTGTCTGGCTTCTGTTTCTTCAAATGTTACCTTGGCTAATTGATAACACAAACTGCTTCAGAAATGTAAGCTCCATGAGGGCAGGGCCTTTATTTTATTCACTGCTGGGCAGTGCTTAAAACAGTACCAGGTAAACACTGGCCCTACAGCCCCCTCTCAACAAACTGGAGGACAGGAATAATAGGTCTGAGAACCTTTATAAAGCAATACAATGACTTAAGAATAAAACATTGCTCTGAAAGGTACTGTTGGATGACAGGAAGAGTTTCAAGGCTGATGGAGGTGGCTTCATGGCTCAAGGCTGCTCTTCATTACAGTCTGGCCACAGGAATATGGCTGGAGTGTGTACTCCAACGCCTTAGAGGGGATGGTTTCCTTAGAGCAGGTTCACTGGGTCGAGTCTCTTTTCACATCCAAGACTGGCTGGGAATTCGTCAAAGAACTCATTGGGGGAATGCAAATGACTGTGAACCCATTTCTTTATTTCTGTCCTCGTGGATTAGATATTTATTGCTGCTTCAACTCTGATTTTATTCATGGCCTAAAGTGGCTTGCCGGGAAAAGGCGTATCCAGGATGATGAAAGAGGATTGTGCCTCTGGGGCAAGATGCTCCTCATTCATCATGTTCCCCATGAGCTGATCTCTGCAATACATAAACCTAATTTAGTTGTTCACTCTCAGATTATGAAAATTAAATTTCATATTATAAAGTTTTAGGGAAAAGAAAACAGTGCCTGGTACTGAATGGGTAAATGAACTGTGTCAGACCCTCATTAGTCAATGGCTCTGAGGGTCACTGAGTAGCTAGCTCTCCAGCATTACTTTAATCAGCTTTATGAAACTCATTATCTTTTGCAAGATTTGCAATCAATTTGTATTTTTGTTGCACTGTTTATTTACATCTGTCAATTATTGACTCACAAAACTGTCTAAATGGGCAGGGAAAGACAGCTGAGGAAGGCAGGACATTGGAACAATCAATGGTTTAAGTGACCGATTCATTAATATTTTCACGTGATACAAATTTTGCCCTCTTGCACAACCTTGTGACTATGGGACTGTGGGGACTCAGATGATAAGAAGCCTTTGTAATCTAACCACACATTTCCTTTCTCATGGCCTTGATCATGGCTAGCCCTAATTTTATAGAGCATCTCAGGAAAGGAAATCAATCAGCAGTTGTCAGCATTTGGGGAAGTCCTGAAAACGTGAGTATTAATTAGTTCAGATGTTGAAAGAAGGTTATGTATATTACAGTCAGTACCCAACTCAGCACAGGTAGGCGAAATCAATTCATACCTTCCCCATGTACATCGTTCTCACCATCACAGAAACCTAGTGGGAAAGGAAAAAAAAACACTTTTATACGATGCTGTCATTTGCATTCACGGATTAGTAACTCTTTCTGAATCAAACTAGAATTTTGAAAATCCCAAGGCAATTTTGGCATGTGGATGTTCTTCTAGAGTGCATTAGCACTTACACTAAAATTAAAATCGATATTGCTAATTTATGTCTAAAGTTGGTTGCTATCTACTTCTTTTTCTTTTAAAATTATCTCAGTCTTAAATTTTTTTTATCGTCTTTGTCCTGAAAGAACAATTTACAAAGTCTGAGAACCTCTATTCAAATCGTAGAGTAATGAAGTACACAGATAGAAACTCTCCTCCAAATGCTTTGTCATGGAAGGAAGGGGACGTAACTCAAAAAGTCTACATCACTGTTTCACACTCAGCATGAATGTCTAGAGGAACAAATTGGAAGTTCCATGCTATATGTTGTATTTATATTTCTTACAGTCAAGTCATTTTAAAAGGAAACTTATCTGGAGTCTCAGTCAATTTGAATAGTATATATGATAGCTATACATGAAGTTTTAAAAATTTGACTGGGGATAAATTCTGGCTGAACAAAGTATTTTTAATGCATAAAATATATTGCAGATGACAAGTACAATATACCCTGTTGGTCCAAGCTAAAACCAAAAAATTGTGCCAAGAATGTTACATGTTAGCATTCTCCTTGGAGCAATCAAGTATATACCAAATGAGTTTTCAGTATAAAATCAGGACAAATTTTTAAGATCTAAGCTTTTAAATATAGCTTACTTCAGGTTTAAGTATGTTTCTGGATAAGCTTAATCTATAAGTTAACCTGACTAGTCTATAAAATTTAAACTAAATGTTTAATAATCATTCATTCAACACATTTAAATCCCTGTGCTAGGTGTGGCAGGCAATAAATAGGCGTAGGTGAGAAGATAGAACATGGAAGCAAAGTCTGTATCAGCTGGAAGATACAAAATGTTAGTGGAGCCCAGCAGCTGGGCAATATTGAGAGTCCCCAGGAGCAGGAAAACGAAAAATTAAGCATGCGCATACAGTTTCTCCCAGGCCCATGGGAAAAGAATCCAAGCTAGTGACTGAGAACTTTATTCAGTGCACATAAAGACCACCTGGGCAAGCTTGCTAGGAGGCATACTTATGGGCCCAAACCTCACAGATTGTCATTTAGAAGCCGGGGGGGTGGGCCCAGGAATCTACATTTTTAATAATCACTCAGAGGACTTTCCTGCAGATAGTCCCTTTGAGAGGCCTGGACAAGGCCGTGGCGTCATCCTGATCGCACACACCTGAAGAAAGGCAGCGTGAACAGAACACTGGGAGGCGAGGTGCAGAGAGACAAACGGTGTGCTCTACGGTCAGCACTACCAACAGGAGGAGAGAAGCTTCTGATTCGTATTCTGGTGTCCCTGGGACCCTCACACTGGGAAAGACCATTCAGATCACTAAAAAGTGACTATTCTATTACAGATAAAGAACCGAGTTTTACACGGCAATGCTGAAGCATCTCTTCATTATCAAGGCACCAATCACTCTGGGTTTAAATAGTAAGGTCAGTTTTCAATTTCATTAGCAAGGCTGACCTGTCCCTGGAACTTGAGGACTCAATTGAGGGCTACCTTGTGGAACCACCTGAGTGGTGTGCAGACATCTCACATAATATCCCTTTAGTGTTACCCTCTCTGTCAGGCTGGAACAGAAGGAAGGCTTCATGAAGGAGGTGGCACCTGGGTTAGGCACTGAAGGACAACGATGAGGATGATGATAACAACAGAGCCAGTGGTATTGCTGGCTCGCTATGTGCCGGGCACTTACTCAGCAACTCAATGAGGCAGGCGCTATTATCACCCCAACATCACACTGCCAGGAAGTTTCAGGACTAGGCTTCTGACCTCTGTGCCTTCAGAATGCCTACCTTGCTGCACCTAGAGGGATTCAGACACTCAGGAGTGAAGAGGAAGACAGCCCCAGTGTAAAGACAGGAGGAGGAAGAGGAAGAGGGGGTCGAGGGTAGGGGTGCAGAGGAAGGGGGAGGGCACAGCAGGGTGGAGAATGGTGTAGTCTGGCTGGAGCTCAAGATGGGAGGAATGGGAGATGAGGCTGGATTGAAGGCATCTGCCAGTAATTTGGCGTAAGGTAGAGAATAGAAGGTTTCGGTTAGAGAAGTGACATGACTACAGCCAAGCTTTAAGTTTTCTCTTGGTGGGAGAGGGTAATTATGTTTATTTATTTATTTTAATGGAGGCACTGGGGATTGAACCCAGGATGCATTCTACCACTGAGCTCTACCTCCCCCCTCCTCCCAGCTAAGCTTTAGAGAGATTGTTTCTGCAGAAGAGTGAGAGATGGATTGAGAGGAGAAAGCCTAGAGGCAGGGAGAGAAGTGGAACATCACTCTAATAGTCCAGGCAAGAAGGAAAGAAGTAGGGTATTTACTGGCAGTGAGGACAGAAGAGAGGTGGCAGATCTGAGACACGCTGCAGGGACAGAATGAACAGGACTTGGCTACTGAGCGGGTGTGAGTGGTATGGGAATGAGAAACCCAGGTTTGGAGTTTAGGTAACCAGAAGCATGGTGGTAGCAATAACTGGTATGTTAGCACCAACTCAATGTATAACCAAAATGTCCAAGCCTGGACTTTCACTACTGGATAAAAAATATCATATGATTCAACTATAAATAAAGGGATAAAAATAAAAAGGAACGAATTGTGACTGGATATCTAGAAACAGAGGAAACTCATATCAGTGCCCCAGGGGATGGGACAGCAATGACCAGGGCTGCATCTGTGTTCCAAGAAACCTTGAGGTCTCACAGCCACTGAGGGCTGACCTCCTAAGTGTAACAAGACCATGTTCCCACTCCCTACTCCTGTGCCCGACGAATCTAAAGTAACTCCTAGCACGGTCTTGATTTGCTGAATAGAGGCAGAGGCAAGAGGTAGGTTCTGTAACCGGAGTGTGCCCTTTAAGAAGCCTTTGGTGCTTCAGCCTCCCCATCTGGGCCTTCCTGCCATCTGGGTGACACTCTTGCCCCTCTCTAGATCTGGGATGCTTTTGCCAACCCTGTCTCCCTCCTCTCTGTTCAACCAGGGTCATGAACAGGCTTGCTTCTTTCAGGGTTATTTGCATTTTAAGCCTTCTTAACTATGCTAGTCAAAGGTACTGCCTATGGAAAGGTTACTGAAGTCCAAGGCACGCCTCTTTCCCAGGGAGGAGCTCAGGGCCATAGTTCTCAAGGCTGGGAATACTCAGCATCAACTGCTCCGGCTGCAGGTGCAAAGAAGGCAACTAGCATGCCCTCTCCTGCCTTCAGCTCTAGACTGCTCCCTGAAAGGACAGGGGCCACCCAGCCCCTCCTCCATTCACTGGTGATGAGTAGAGGAGAGTTAGGGACAGTCCTAGACTATGGGACAGGGCAAGTGTCACAGTGGTCTCATGCTTATCCATCTCTGCACGTGTGTGTGTGCATGTGTGCGCGTGTGTGAGAAATGACAAACTGCACATGCTACCAGGGAAATGATCAATATTTCTCTTTATAAATTCTGGATGATTAAACAAGAAGAGAGAACTATAAAAATCTTGTTTGGTTGTATAAAAGTTTATTTCTATCATTTATATCAACTACTTACCATGTTTGCTTAATTGTTGTGCAGCTCAATAACCATTATGAAAATTACTAACCATGTATCAGACTAATGGCTTTGTTTCCTTGGGACACAAAACTCTGCTCACAAATGTATCACAGTCTATTGCTTATGTAGTTAAGATATGAGCAGATGCTCCCTCATCATCTGCTTACAAAAAAAAAAAAAAAACAAGTGGGAGCATTAACTGAGGCTACATCATTACGCTCAGGAAAGATTCCAAGGGAAAGAACAGTTATTGCTTCTCCTATGGAGCCTAATTCTGGGCTTCAATTATATTTTCCCATCACTTTTTAAATCTTTACTTTATTTGGTTGGTCCCATAATAAGAAATACCTTTTTGCAAAGCTAGTCGATATTTTTAAAGTCCAAAAGGAAAGAAAATGAAAAACTTTAATGAATTACAGGGGGAAAATACATGAAACTATTTAAAATAGCTCCCACCAACAAATATAATTCTCCAGAAATAATTCCCATCCTTGGAGACTTGAGTAATATTTTAAACACACTGGCTTTCCCATGTAAACACATCCATATTTGGATGTGTTTCTGAGTTCTGCTATACTTGCAAGGCAACTGTGCAGAAGCAGGCACCCAGCTCAGACTTTCAAGCTGGAGGTCAGTCCACCTTCCACAGTTGTCAGAAATTGGGGCCCAACAATTTCTCACTGCTGATTTGAAAAGGAGTGCCCACTCTGACTCTACAGTCAACCTGGGAATTCTGCTCTGGGATTTCTTTCTTTCTTCCTGCTTTCCTTATTGCTCTGTCTACTACGATCAACATTTACATTCTTTCGCTTTTCTTACTCATCCTCACTCACACCTTCTGACACTTCTCACCTCTTCCCTCCAAGGCTACCTCACTCTTAGCATAAATGTTTCACTCAACTAATTACTTTCTTTAGGTACTTGTTTCTCTCTACATGCAGGCCTCACAATCTCACTTAAGTTATCTATGATTCCCTTGTTCTCTCTAGGTCTTTGGCCCTTTCCAGAAAAGTGTAAACTTTAAATAGAGGGCAACACAAACCAAGGAATGGCAGAGGCGGAAATGCAGCTCTTTATTTGGGGTTCCGAGTAAAAACCTATCAGTCTGGTTCCCTTCCAATCCAGGGAGACCGAGATCTTGCTGCACTCACCAGCATCCCCACTAATAACAGTCTCTGCCTTTTTTAGGCTTGTATATTCCTAAATCTCTACCTATACAGAAGCTAAACTACCTCATCTTCCCATATGTCCCACTTTTCTGATCAGTGAGCAGTGGTCCCTTATCCAATTCCAACATAATTGTCGGCTTTATTCTCATATTCCCATGCGTGAAGGCGGCTAGGCAGCCCTAACCGATTCTAAAAGATCTCATACTTTACAAGCAAACAACCATTTGGGTAAATGCAGTCATCTCTGAATTGCACCAAGAGAACAGAAACAGCATTATTACAACAAATACAAGGACTGTTAAATCCCATCCCCACTATATGCAAGGAAATAAGATGTTGAATGTTCTCTGCAGAAGGAACAGAGACTATTTAGGCTTTAAATTATCTAAAAAGTAAAGAAAACCAGAAAAGCTAGTATTATCTTGGCCAAAGATTCCCCTGTTTGTGGACAAGAGTCGATCTGCATTGGAATGGATAATTCAGGACAACTGTTCCTACTAGATTATAAACCCCAGGAAGGCAGGCTTGGAATATGTCTTAGTGAATCAGACTTGTTTCATGGGCAGGTTAGATGTCAGCAACCAGAGTGGTTTTAGTGAGTGCTCTGTGCACATAAGCCATTGAGTAATTTCTCCACGCTTCTCCATCACTGAGGGCTCCTCTGTGCCAGGCACTGTGCTGCAGGTGAGACCATTAAGAAGCTAATTGTCAGAAATCTACATGGAGCAACAGAGAAGCACATCCTGAGAAAAGCGGTCAAGTGACACAGGTGCCAAGACGGCCATCTATACTTAGGAGCTTTGAGACGTTAGAAGGACACAGGGAGTTCTGGGCTGGCAAAGGGAGAAAGGTCAAGGTGGCCCCACAGGCATGGGGTCAGAGCTGAGGATGCTGGTCAGGTAGCCAGGAGTAAGTTAAGAGAGGAAGAGATGGGAGCAGGATGGAACATTAATAGAACCCCAAGGGGTTCAAAGACTTGGGGGGAGGGGCTGTGAGTAAGGAGAGAAGGGAGAGAGAGATGGGTGGGGGGCCAGACCCTGGCATTCATGTCATTCCAAACTGAGAGATTTGGACTCTCCTGGAGGTGAGGTTTTAAGCAGGCAGCAATATGATCAGATTTGGGTTCACTCTGGAAGCAGATGACATGAATCTCATCCCCACTCCTGGTCACTTCTGGCCTCTCTCCACCCTTTTACTCACCCTGCCCAAGGGTGGTGGAACAGTGACCGCAGAAGAGTGGGGAACAAGCCAGCAGGTGGTGCGGCTCCCCCTTCCCCTGCCCAGGGGCGCGCCTTCCCTCCAAGAGCCTGCCTTCTCTCTCGGCCCTGCCCCTTGGTCTGACCTCCGTGCTCCTCCCCTGGGGGCCGCCCTGGGCCAGGGCTGCTGGCCACTCGGGAGCCAGCCTCCTTCTGGGGTCCAGTCGTGATAGGCATGGACCCACTGGGAGAAGCCACTTCCTCTTGTCAGGAATAAAGGCAGTATTTACCTCCATCTGGCACTTCTAGTTTGAGTTCTCGGTTTGTCCAGAGCCTGGATGGGAAGCGAGGACTTTCAGAGAGTCCAATGTAAAACTAGACTGAGAGGACACTGGACTGGAAATAAGGAGATCAATTAGAAAGTTTTGATGAGTTCCTGCAAAAATGATGAGGGCCTAAAAATTGGACAGTGTGGAGTGGAGGAAGCTTGAGGGCCAAGAGATGCCAAGAAGAGAGAATCCGCGGTGGAGAAGGCAGGAGAGGAGCTCCGTTTCACTTCATCATGAACACACACATTCCCCTGCTGGGAGCTTTGCTCTGAAGACCACGAACCCGGGAAGTGCGGGCGCGGTTTCAGCTTTTCTCCTCCTGGGCCTACAGGACAGAATGAGCAGCACAGAGCTGGCGGCTGGCCCGTGTGTCTTACCCATGTATGAGGCAGGCCAGGCCGACGGGCCCCCTCCTCCATAGGGGTCTTGGGGCTTGGTGCTCAGAGCACTTGTGTGAAGAGCAGAATCAGAATTGGTCCTAGGAGAGGGAGGAGAGAGTCTGGCTGAAAATTTTTTTTTTTCTTTAGTGAAAATGCAATATTCTTCACTGAAAATTACCAACAGGAGGGAAGGCAAGATCAATCGATTTACAATCAACCAAAAAAGGAGGGGTCTAGACCTACCTGAAGTCCTTTACATCAATAGCAGACACTGGGGATGGCCCACACCCAAAAGACTGAAATTTGTACTTGTATGATCTTATCTTTTGAAGCTGATGGCATAAGGATCTGGTTCAACAAGACAGACCTCAGATTCGTGGCTTCCTCTAAGAAACTTCCCATTTTTCCTTGCAACTCCAAAGATCGCTGTGACAGTCTATTCTCTGTGGCTGCGCTAGACCCTCCCCGTCTGAGAATAACTCCTCCTACATGAAGGACCGCCGATAGCAGGGATGCTCAAACACTTTCAGAGAGAATGCAAGGTCAGGACAACTTTCAAAATACTACTAACGTGTTCTCTGCCCTTTCACTCTCGTTCTTTCGTAAGCAGTGGTTCTTCCAGCAGCTATGTGACCCATAGCTGCAATGCCGCTGCAGACCCAATGCACAAGCAGACAGAGCAGCTATCTCCCAGGGATTTGTAAAAGGTACAACAATGTCAGTCTTCTCAGTAAATTAATTCGTTTCAGAAAATATAACTGTGCTTCTTTTAAAAAGATACTATTTTGGTTGACATTATTATATGTTTATTATTTTTTCTTGTTATTTCTAAATGCATTAATGAGTATCTTCTAGAAATCTCTCAACTTAACTTCCAAAATCAATAGCTAAATGTCAATAAATATACCCACATAAACAAACACTGTTTGAGGGCTTCAATGGTTTTAAGGTTCAAGGGAGTCTTAAGACAAAAAGTTTGCGAACCACTGAACTATAGCAAATTTCTGAAATTCTCCCAGACAGCTCCAATTTGTACACAGCTTCTGCTCCAAGAGCTGATTATTTACTTATCTCATCCAAGGGTCAAACCGTCTGCCATAAAAAGAACTTGAGAGAGACTTCAAATTAGCTTAAAATGCTTCTTCTGTGGTCTGTTCCAGGGGATGGCCTCATGCGGCCATGAAGCCATGTGGCCTGACTGCACCGTGGCTGTGCTGTGCTCAGACAAGGGAGGGGCAGTTCAGAACCTGCGCGATGCCACAGGAAGAGCGTGGACGCTGTGGTCAGAGCACCCTGGGTTCAGATTCCAGCTCCTTTACAGATTCAAAGAAACTCAAGAGAACATCAGTCAGATGCAGAGGGACAACTGGGAGAATCTGAATATAGACTGGGTATTAGATAATATTTGGGATTATTGTTAATTTTGTTAAGTGAAACAATGGCATTGTAGTTATGTTTTTTTAAAAAGGTTCTAATCAGCTTTCTACTGTTAGAGATATTTACAGGTGAAATACTCTATCTGACTGGTGGTGGGATGGGGGTGGGAGGTACTGGGGTTGGGGGGTGGGTAGAGAAGAAACAAGACTGGCAGAATGCTGATAAGGACTGAAACTGAAGGATGGGCACATGGACTTATTAATCTTTCCCCTTTTGAGTATGTTAAAATTCTGCACTATAATTAAAAAAAAATCTCAGTTCCATTACATATTAGCTAAGAGGCCTTAGACAAGTCATTTAACCTCTTAGAACAGAAAATAATGTGCATTCTTATAGGACGGTATCAGGATTGAAAAAAATGACCTATGTAGAAACCTTACTGTGGAGGTCCGGCCCATAGTGATAATTTAACAGCTAACGTCTATTGAATACTTAATGCTTCCCACCTTTCTTATGTATCTTATTTAATTCTTGCAACCATCCCTTGACACATAGGTACTATCATCTCCCCTTTCCAGATGAATAAACTGAAGCATAGAGAAGTTAAGTAACATGTTCAAGGTCACAGAGTAAGAGGCAAACCCTGTCATCCCACACCCAGACCTCACGTTCTCATACAGCTACACTATACCAAGCAGACGTTCATTACGTGGTGGGAGATCTGGATCTTCATTTTTTAACACTTCATATGGACACAGCTGATATAAACATACTCTGGCAAATGGATGATATATTAAAAACATCAGGACAATCAAGTTGATTGGTCTTCCACGTTAAAGTTTATTTCTACTAGGAAATCAGCCATGTACCTGTTAAGTGCAGATGTTAGCCTGAACCCAGGGTGCTTCTCTTCCTTCCAAGCAGGCTGCTGCCTTTAAAAAACAGAACAACATAAAAAGAAAAGAAGTTCAATCCACAGGGAGCAAAGGAGATCCTCCAGCCTTGGGTTTGAGAACTGGCTCTTCCACTTACCCCGCTGCACGACCTGAGGAAAGTCACTTCACAACGCACCACCTCATTCACTTGGCTCATCATTGTTATAAAACGAGGTCACACTGAGTGATCTCTCCAGCTCCTGTGATTTCTGATTTCCATGACAAAAACTGTCACAAATCCACCAGAGCAGGATGAGCGGATGAGCTAGCTGGGCATATAAGAGTTTTGGTTTTCATTTTTAAAGGTCAAACAAGCACCTTTGAAAATATTTTGAAATAGTTCAAATCTATGGCCAACCCCTCTCCAGGGGATAGGAGGTCTTACTCCGGACGTGTGTGTGGAGAGGGCGCCCTGACAAGCCCGGATGCAGAGACGCTGCGTTCCCAGGCAGATGTCCATCAAGAAGCATACAGCTGGTACAGTAACCCAGTTTATGAAAACAATAATCTCACGAATCCTCGTGCTTGTGCCGAAGACCGTTTTTCTTGGATACAAATTTTTAAAATCTGTTTCAAGATATCTTTTTATGATAAAATACTGTGTTTATCCTACAACCATGGATCTCAAGATTCTTGAGGGTAGCTGAAAACCTACTGGAGGCAGGGGCCAGCTGTTACCCACGTTCACACCAACCTTTCCTGGGTCCTGAATACATCGTCTGCAGTAATTGCTGCCAGCATTTGCCCAAAGAATGGACGGGCAGTAGACCTCAACCCAGAGAGCTAAATGGTTTCAAATGCCTCCGAAATCTGACTAGGTGATCTGAAAATGACACCACATACCCACTGGATGTAGCCATCTTTTCAGTTAACTGTACATTCTTTCACTCTCAAAAATACTCAGTTATGGGGTGTATATTCTCTCTATACAAAAATACTCCAACAGACCCTAAATCAAATCCAACTTTAGGAGCTTACTAAAGCCTTTGTTCCTTTCAGTGGCCAAGACACCTCATATATTCAGATATAAGAATACCAAATGAGAGTATTATGTTTATAAATGTATCCAAATGTGTTTCTATTTGGTCTTAAAGATGAAGATCTAGATTTACTTAAATAACTTAATTTTAGACTCTCATATAAGCCTATGATTATGCATAGAAAGAACTTCACTTTTACAAGAGAAAACAAGAGTCTGTGCTTTAGATTAGAGATTTCTAAAACAACATTCAGGATGGGTAAAATAAAGTGAAACCGTCCAAAAATAGCACATGCCCATCATACCTTTGAAAACATGGCTTGCTTACCTTGGCCAACTCTCATCCAGAGGCTGTGAGGCGTAATTAGCTCCAAAAGTACCACCATCAAAGTAGAGTTTTTAATAAAGGAAAAATAAAATGAATGGAAAGCTGATGCAGAAGTAAGAAGCTGGAATCGTGGGGCGTTAAAACAACTGAGTTGTGGGTCCTTACCTTTATCACTGCATCAGACAGCTCTTCCTCCACGCATTCTCTTACCAGCTTCCTCTGGAAAAGTCTACTTCTCTGTCTTCTAACCAGTGCCATCTTTGCATGGTTCATCGGGGGTGTTCCTTACTCTTTTTGCCAGCCTAGCATCTTTTACTTTGAAGAACTGCCTCCACCCCCACCCGAAACCTGGGAAGCATGGCATTCCCCTCCCTGTCCCACGGGATGCCCTTAGGCTCAGCATTTCCAGTCAAGGCAACTTATCCCCCAGTGATTGGTTCAGAGATGATGAGCTCATGATATAAACAGGACCAATGAGAGTGCTTTTGAGGAGAAAAAAGGAGTGTCCCCAGTGGAGGTGGTGAGCTTGAGGACCATGTGAATCTGGGTTTCTCTCCCTGGAAGTCAATTCAGAGGGAGCACCTCACAGAGACAGAGTCTCAGTGCTACTGGACGGGCCCCTAGATCTAGCCTGTGGGCTTCTAGTGATGTCAGCCAATACATTCCCTTTTCTTCAAGTTGAGGGTTCCTGTTACTTATCGTCAGAAGGGAGCTGCATTAGGTTTGTGGAGAAATGTTAACTTCCCTGGGTTGTCAGGGGCCCCATTCCATAAATTCTGTATCCTTCCCTGGGTCTAGCCTTAGCACATCTTAGTGTGCCTTTGCACATCTTCCACATGCACGGAAAGACAAATGTGATGCTACACCACTCATGCTGAGGACAGCAGAGCCGTGTTGGTTAATTTAGTTAATTATACCCATAGAATAGCCTTCTTAAAACATTTTAAATTACATTATTCTCCTGCTAAAAAAATCTTCAGTGACTCTGTGTAAAAGAAGCCATCATAAGCTAGAGCTCAGGAAGAGACGGGAGCCTTGATGAGAAGGGACTATGATGCAGGCGGAATCTGGCACTGGTAAAACTTGGGCACTAGTGAGTTCTTAATGAAATATTTCCTTTGCCAGGAGAAGCATTATGATCACAGCTTCACTTCCTGTGTGTCAGTTGTGTCATGTCTAGCTACCTTATTTCTTAATCTGAATCTTAGTCAGTACAATAAAGCAGACATTTTCAAAAAAGAGACCCGATATTTCTCCAACATTAACTATTAGGCTTAATGCTTGCAAAGTACAGATTAGAACAGAGCCCAGTAGAAGACAGAAAAGGAGAAGGTGAGAAAGAAATAAGAAGGCCCTCGGAGAGAGGAGGCACTGAGCCTTTCTCTTTCCTGCAGAGTGTGGTGACTCTCTGTCCAGAAAAGCTGAATTTCATGAAGCAGAAGTTCACCACTTCTTCTGGTGCACTGCCACCCTTAAAAGTCATTAAGTCCAATTATCTAGACAAGTGATACAAATTAGAATGCAGTGGTGTCGTAATAATGCAATGATCAAACATCAGTTATTTCAATGTTGAGGTGTAAGTTAGCATTGTAGCCTTTCTGATGTAGATTAACAACACGGACATGAAGTAAATTCCTGAAATTATAATATGGCTAGACTGAAGGCATCTAAACTTAAAAGATGTGACATCTGAGCTCTCTTAATTCTCACCATCACATCTCATTTAATGGATATTTACAAACCGAAGAACTGTTGGCATCAAGAGAACCACTAATGTTAGCAGCTTACAGTTAAACTCAACAGAGGAAAACACCAAAAAGGTTTATTTGTTCTTCTGAAGATTTCAGAAAACTTTGTTCAGGTGACTAATTACTCCACAACACTGATACGTCTAAAAACAACGTAAAAACAGGAAAAATATCCTTATTTGTAAACTTGAATTTACCATTTAATTCAACAAACATTTCCAGAGTGCCTGCTAATTGCCAGCAAACAAACAGAAGAGCAACGCAGGTGGCAGGTTTTTAACAAGCCAGACCAGCTCCTCACCCATTACCATCTTAGTTAAGCCTAAGTCAAAAAACAATCCCACGTCATAATGGACCTTTTTATCTATTCCACTCTGCACTCCTGTTCACGCTCCTCCTCTCCTGCCTTCAACCCTAATGGTCCCAAAGTTCTGTGGCCTCATAGCCTCTCTGCTCTGCTCGCATCTGCTTTCATTGCTCTCAAAAGGACAGGATGGGGAGAGGGTCTCAGCACCACTGGGTACCAGGTGGAGTGGAGGCAGGGCGGGAGGCTGGAGTGGCCAGGTACTTTGGGAAGAGCGCCCTTGGAGACTCTGTCAGCAGGCCCCGACCCCGTCCTCCATGTTCGCCTTGGTCCGTCCACGCATACATTTGGCTCCAACTATCACCCACAGTCCCCACTCCTGAATCCATACCCCCAGCTCCCAACAGTTCTCGTGAACTCCAAGTTCACATTTCCAAATGCCTACTCAGTCTCTCCACCAAAAGTACCTCAAATTCTACCCAAAGCCCAACTAATCGTCTTCCCTCTCATCTTCTTACAGTCCCTTGTATTCAGTGGAGGGCGCCATCCACCCAGGGGCTCCGGCTGGAAATCTCAGAGTCATCCCAGTCTGTTCTCTCTCTCCCCAAGTCCCCGCGGGTCAGCAGAGGAAAAGCCTTCCCCTTACGCTCCTGCCTCAGTCCCCTGACCCGTGGACTCCTACTCCTTCTCAGCTTGGGGAGTGTCAGAGGGAAAGTGCTCACCCACGAGTCCCCAGCGGAAGGGGAGTAGCCCTCCCAGTGATAAGACAGGACACCTGCTGGCCCGCTTCCCTGTGGGTGGGATTACTGAGCCGCAGAAGCTCCAAGCAGCTTCCACCCTTCTCTCTCCTGCGCTGCCTGCTCGTGGCTGCTGAGCACAGCTGGGTCATTCTTTTGGCTTCCTGTTCCCATGTGGTAAGGGCACCTGGGGCAGGGCTCAGGGACCGCCCCCTACAGCAGCCTGGAGGCCGACTGTCTTCTCTCCTACCCTCTGGAACTCGGGGTTCTACCAGAGACAGGGTGCGGGGCAAGCTCGTGATCTCCCCTGCGGCTGGCGGGGTACGTGAACTCCAGGTCCGCTTAATAGAACCCGCCCACCAAGACGAGTGCCAGGGTCGGATTTAATATATAAAAACGTCACAGTTTGGTTCCTCCCCTAATTTCTCGACCATGTCTTCAGCATCACTCTACTTCCTCTGGTCCCCTTACCTCCAACTAGGTCCTACTAGAATATATCTTAAAGTCAAACATGAAGGGAGTTGGCATAATATGAGTGGAATCTTCTTGAGTTCTTATGTGTATCAGAACATCATATTTCCTTCAGCACATCAGTGACAAATAGGTGGCATGTGGAATTTTGAAGTCTGAATATTTCCCCCTTACCACTCTAAAAACCAGTATTTCCATGTCCTTTGAGATGGAAATCTCCAATGGGTGTTTAGATGAAAATTGGGTTTTTTTATCAAATAAATTTTTGGAAATCCCAGGTTAAAAGATAAGAAGTTTCTTAACTATAGGGCTTCTCAGAGACTTAATGTCAACTGTGAAGCTCCAAGAAGTGACAGAGAGTTCAGTGTTTCTCAAACATAATAGGCCATGCATTTCAAATAAACATGCTCTATAAACCAATGTCCTATAATTTTCATTTCATTGTGTGAAAAGTTTCAAAGCAAGACCTATTCCAAAGAGGAAAGCCATTCCTAACTTTCATGGGTCTTAAGGCATCTCTTGATGACTGTTCACACTAGATTTCTGGACACAGTATACTCTCAAGCCTTGTTGGGAATATAAACTGGGGGAAATTTCTAAACATTTGTCTTTCTTTCTAAAAACACATCTCTTTTAGAGGAAGACATTTTCTATGATTCGTCAGTGTGTCTTACCCACAGATCTGAGATAATATTACATTTGCTGTAAATGTATGTTAATAGTTTTTTTTATATTTTATTTTTTTTATTTTTATTTTTTAACATTTTTTATTGATTTATAATCATTTTACAGTGTTGTGTCAAATTGTATGTTAATAGTTGAGAAATTCAGCAAGACGGTGTTTGGGGTACACATTCTGCTGCCCTTGAGGAGGGAGGGGTGAGAAGGGCCGCCTGCAGGGAGGCGGGAGAGCTTCTACTCTGAGTTCTCAAGCCCTGGCCCCCAGCCGGGGACCAGGCAGCGCCTCTCCTCTGCCCTGAGTGCGGCCCCAGGCCAGAGCCCGCCTGGGCAGTGCCAGGGTCTCTGCTTGTGGTGGCCACTCATGCCAACAGCAGAGCCCACCGCACTGGCCTTCTATGTGGGGGCGGCCGCCCACCGTGGAAGGAACGCCCTTGTGCCACAGGCTCCGCGGAGTGTGGCTGCCCACACTGTCAAACAATGTTCACTTTATTTGAGATCATTTATCCGTATCATAGGACTGAACCCTTGTCTAAGCCAGTGTGCCTGTTCTAAAATAACACCCAATCCAAGGAACAGCTGGAAGAAGAGAATTCTGAACACATTTCTTCTTTTTGTTCTAACAAAGATTCAAACCAGTGTTAATACTTTTAAAAGATAAAACTTCATGAGGGAGGTAATAGACCAGTGTGAAAGGCAACCATTTTAAGTAAATTATTTCAAAATCATATGAATGCAGGCCAGGAAAGGAAAAATGGAATTGCAGCCCTCTTCCCTGAAGTTCTCCTGAATATACTAACATCTGCGACAGAAAATCATCCCACTTTTATATTTTACTAGGATTTCGGGGTCCCTGGATTCCTCAAAAGAGACTTGCTGTTTGTTAATGGGCAGGCCTATGCTAAAGCCCCAGGGCCCCAGTTCGGTGCTTGAGAAGAGCGTATGGAGAGACGTCTCACGGTCTATGATCAGTACTGTCTGATGATTGTACTGTCTGATGAACAACTTTAACTGCTCTGTATAGTAACTTGGTTCTTGTTTCTCCTCCGCGTAGGAGTTGATCTGCTCTGCTGCTGATCTCACAAGGGATCCGCACACAGGGTCCAGCCACACCCTGTGACTTACTACTGAGGAGAGACGGGGCCCCCTGAGCACACGGCGGAGTAGCGCCTTCCTACACTTCGCCCAAGTCCGTCCCTCTGCCTGAAACATTCCCTCCGCAGCTGCCTTCCTCTTTGGATATCACTTACAACCACTTGAAATTATTTTCCTTCATCATTTTTTAAACTGTTTGCTGTCTGTCATCTCCCACAGAACTGTAAACTCAAGAAGGCAAGGACATGCCTGTCTTATTCACCACTGAGTCCCCAGCGCTGAGAACAGTACTTGGTACAGAGAGGGGCTCTGTGCACATCTGTTGAATAAAGATGCACATTACCGCCTTACTTGTAACCTACCCTTCAAGCCTCAGATTTTCTCCCAGGATGCCTTCTATGCCCCCACAAGACTGGTTCAGGCTGTCCCTGCCGAGCCCCTGAGCCACCTCAACTACAGCTCCCCGCACTGTGCAGCAACCACATGCTTGCCCAGCTGCCTCTCCCACTGGATGACAGTGACTTGAGGGCAGGGACCATATCATGTTTGCCAGTATGTCTGCAGTATCTAAATGATGCCTGATGCTAACAGATACTCAAACTGTTTTTAGGTGAATGAACATTCTTCTCCATTGCTTTTCTTCAATTTCCTCCTCTTCTAGGTATTCCTTGGTTAAAAAAGCTATGACTCTATGTATATATTTAGACTATACTTGATGCAAAAAGGATCTGAGATAGCTGTAAATGTATCTATAGGTATTATAATATTTAGAGAGAACACCTACAAGAGAAAGAGGGAATTGAGACAATAGAAAAAGATGTAATGTTACATCAAGCGAACAACTCTCAAAGTCTTTTGCTTGAAAATTCCGAGCAATTTAGACAATGGTTTGATTTACTGCTCCACCCACATGTGTGTGAATTCGCTGAAGAACTGCCTCTACTCTCCTCTCCTTTTTACATTCTTAAAGTTCTGCACATTCCAGAAAGGAATTTGAGGGATACATCGGTGGTTTAATGGTAGAATTCTCACCTCCCAGAAGGGAACTGGAAAAATCAGTTATTGTTTTCACGTCCCCTGATAATGGCCACACAATATACAAAATCAGAAGTCAGGGTATCTTGATGGACCAAATGCAGTGTGTTCCTGGGGGCAGAAGAGGGGAGAAATAAACATTCGTTGGGGTCATTATCCTCGCCTCAAATTACTGGAAGACTGCAAGAAGCCTGAGGGCAAGAAAAGCAGTGGTTTCCTCTGTGTCCCCACAGCTCCCATGGGTTTCTCTGAAGCATGGTCCTGGGAACAGCTGAGCACTGCAGGGAGGAAGGAGCCCAGCTTGACCTGGGCTGACTCCGGGCCCCTCCTACCTCAGCAGTGGAATTTTGGGCAAGTTACTTTGATACGCAGTTTCCTCACGGGAAAATGGGGGTTAAAAAGTCAACTGCTCACTGAGTTTTGAGGACTAAATGACATTGAATTGCCTAGCACAGGGCCTGGAACGGGTAGGTGCTCAGTAAACATGAGTGCCCTCCCCCCGCTTCCTGGTTTCTAGGCTGGCGAAGCCAACTCTACCATCATTGCCAGGAATTCAGCTCTGCAGTCAGACTCACCCTGCCTTTCTGGTCTTTTCCACCCCTGTGGGTGAGAAGAGTGAAGTGGGGGGCGCAGGCCCTTCCAGCACACTTATTCTGTGCCCTCTCTCACCAAATCTGGCTCAGGTCTCTTTCTAAACACCCTGAGCACAATGCTGGATGCTCAGCAGCACCCCCTACTCTGGCCTGATAAATAAAATTGTCAGATGAACTCAGTCTCCTTTGTTTTACTCCTACGTAACAGCATAGGACTTGGTGTGAGTACATATCACCATATAAGTATTTTCCCAAATACCAGCTTCATATTTTAGCTGTCACTTACTGAGTTTGAGACTCCATAAATAGAAAATCATATAAAATTCCTTCTGTAAGTTCTAACAGCAGTTCAGTGGGTCAACAGAAATAAAAATAAATCACATATCTGTATGTCTGTTTTAGCTAGACTAAATCTTTCTAACCTGATTCAAAGTCAACTCTGACTTTGCTGATTTCTGAAGAAAATGCTGTAAAGGCCTTGCAATGAGGCTGACTTACATGTTTCTTAAGGGCACTTACTTCATTAAAGTGAACTTGATTGACACTTTCATAAACACCTACAATGATCCTTCCAAATTTGTGGTGCAGAGATGTTTCTGGTTTCCTACTCATTTTTGTTTTCTCTGTTCATCAGATAAAATGAAGATTTTGAGGCCAAAAGGGAATCGCAGGGAAGATAAAACCTGAAAACTTTTCAAACATTTCAAAACTTATCGTCTCCTCTGATGATGAGAAAGGATATCTGTCGTCCTGGCTTGTCCCCAGACCGTCGGTGGAGGGGGTGGAAGCGCGTCCGGGACGGCCTCTCCACCAGCCCGTGGTGGCGGGTTCCTCGCACGCTGTCCACTGGGTGGAACGACGGCTGCAGAGGGAAGGAAGAAGAGTTGGCCTGTGACCGTGACATCGCCACTCACCCTCAAGAACAACAGCTGACAACAACAGATGACAAGACTGACTTAAAAATTTTACTGGTGTCCCTCACTGTGACTTGAGTCGAGGTTAATAGACTGCAGCACATGGGGCTGTTTCTACATAGTTACAGAATAACTTAAAATGGTCTTTAAGGTATGAAGATGAAAGCTGAAAGAGTGATATATTAAAAGTTGTCACAATTAGGGGACTACGGATTCATATACCAAATCCGGAAACTAGGAGGGACACGTGACATGTGAGAGAGGTATACTTAAGACAGAAACAAACTGGACACCATAGTGTCCACCTGCAGAAACACAGATCCAGCAACCAGAATTAAAATGGGATACCCACAGACTGTGGACTAACTGCTCTGCACAATGTCTTTTTACATTTTTTATCGAATCAGCATTGTTTAAAAATTCAGGTCTGGGGCTTCTCGTGAAAAATCTGAACATCTTGGCCCAAATTCCCACATGGCAAAAGGGGCTGAAATCGAGAGTGGCTGCTCCCTGCAGGTAGGACACCAGATCACTTCACTGACTTACTATGTTAGACATTTGAGTCGAATCCAAAGTCCTTTGTTAAGGGAGGCTTGGGGCACATTCTTAACATTTTTGAGATTGGCATCATGAAAAGCAATCTTTTTGATGGTCAAAGACCAAATCCTAGGCTGGAAAATTATATTTCACAGAATGGGGCAATGTGTATACAATCTGATGCCAGAGGTATTTGTGAAACACATAAAAATAGGTTTTCTTTTATGTAAGTTGAATCATACGTCAAATAGCTAGCTTACTATGAAAGGAATCCCTAGACAGACTATGTCTTTATGGGGGAGCTCCTTTTAGCTAAGAATTGATCACTAATTTTTCTTTGTTAAACTTACGGATTTTGTCATATTGGACTTGGGAATTACTCCTATTTCTCCTGAGTGGGCTGATAAAATGTCTGGGCTAATTTAGTTGAAGAATTCTAATCTATTTTCACAATCCAAATCTATTAACTCCTAAAAAAAAAAAAAGAGAGAGAGAGAGAGACGGAGAGATCTTAGTTAGGAACAACCTGTGAGCCTGGAAGAAAAATATCCCTGTAACAGGTAAGCTGGGTGCTAACCTCAGATAAGAGAGCACACACACTATCCTAGGAGTGACCAACTGAGACACCTTTGTTAATCAAGAGGACAGCACACCTTATCGGAACCTGTTTATACGATAGACATAATTTTAAGAGACAGATGACTTTGTTCCTGGATAAAAGAAAAGGGAGGACTCTCTGGTAATATAATCAACATTCACCACAGTAACGTTAAATGTACTCGAAAACACGATATTTTCATCTAGGAGTCTTAAAGCACTGCCAGACAGGGCTCCCAGGGCCCAGCCTACAGTGGTGGCGCTGAGGGTCTTTAGAAAGGGTTCCAAAAAGTAGAAAGCTCTTGCAATGTCTTCCAGGCTTCCCGTGACACCCATATTTTCTACTTACACTTGCCCCTTCCGCATTAACCCCCACTGGCCCAGGCCCTCCAGGACTACCTGGGCTCAGTTTTGGGGGGATAATCTTTGCTTACATTGGATATTCTCTTCTCTGGGGCACAGCTTCAACTCTCTGCCCCTGCAGTCACTGATCCTCTTCCAAATGATATTTGGCTTCAGCCCTCTCAGTTCACAGCGAACTGCCTGGATCATCAAGTGAGTTACAGCAGTTCAATCAGAGAAGCTGGGACTGGAGGAGTTTCACAGTGAAGGAGTCTATTAAACACTATGGTGTTTGATAGTTACTCTAAGTCTCTGGGCCCCAAAGAGCTAGGGACAAATGGACACACAATTCTCCTGTCCCCACCAACTTCCAAACTCTTGATTTCTGGGAGTTAAAATTCTGTTATTTATAAATGTATTCTTTAGGTCAACTTTAATACAAAAAAGAAACAAAACCCTACCACCCTGAAGGCCAAGTTACTTCATTTTTTTCTGTTCCTTTTCAAGCTTCATTCATACTTTTTACATGGCTGTGCTCACAGAGCACATATATTTCTGTGATCTATTTTTTATACTTAAAACTTTATAAACAATCTTTGTATTTTGTAAACAATCTTCCATATATTATGTAACCTTTCTAGTTATTAATTCAGTCCATATATAGTTATTTCATTTCTAATGTTCATAAGGCCAATATTCCACGTTGCAGTTCAAAGAACATGTGATTTAGAGTCAAAAACTGTTTCAGTCCAGAATCCTCCACTTACTAACAAGTTACTTCATCTTCCTTATCTATAAAGTGAAAATGATGATCTGATAACCTCCTCACAGGCTTGTTGAGAAAACAAAATTAGACTGTGTAAGTGAAAGCTGCCTTATCCCAAGGATACCGGGTGTTATGGACTGCATTGTGTTTCCCAAAATTCACGGGTTAAAGCCCTAACCCCCAAGGTGACTGCATTCAGAGATGGGGCCTTCAAGGAAGTAATTAAGGTTAAGTGAGGTCATAAGGTAGGCTCTAGAGGACTGGTGTCCTTAGAAGAAGAGGAAGAGATACCAGGAGTACATGCACACAGATGAAAGGCCACGTGAAGACACAGGAAGAAGGCGGTCAGAACTCAACACTATCAACACCTTGATTTTGAACTTTCCAGCATCCGGAACTGTGAGAAAATAAATTTCTGTTGTTTAAGCCACCCAGCCGGTGGGGTTCTGTTAGGGAAGCCCAAGCAGACCAGTGCACTAGGCACTGGAAGGAGGAAGGAGGCCAGGTGGTGGGACACTGGGAAGCATCCTGCTGAAGGCGAGGCCACACTGCAGGGCCCTCCTGTGGACAGCAGGTGTGGCATCACCACCAGGGACTTCTGCAGCATTCTGACCCTCCCACAGGCTTCCCTAAACACCTAGATCTCCCTTAGACACCCATCTGTTGCCCATTCCATGTCACCACTGAAAGATGCTGCATGGGATGAATGGCTGAAAAGATGCTGAAAATGGTTGGCAGGGTCTTGTGACCTGCTTTTGCCAATGGATCATGAGCAGATGTGATATACATCTTGTCTACCCAGGAGCTCTCATACTCTTCCCTCTGCCATGAGAATGCCATGTCCAGTGGGGATGCTCCTTCAGCCTCTGCTGTAGTGGGAAAGATGCAAGGAGGGGAGCCACAGCAGGCAACACGAGTGAAACATAAATGTTTGCTGAAAATCCCAGAGTTTTTGGATTGGTTGTTACTGTAGCAAAGCTGACTGATACAGCAGTGATGGCAGAGAAACAGACAGCAGTGAGATGGAGAGTCCTCTTTTTCATGAAGAGCAACAAGGGAGATGTAAAGTCAAAAGGTCCTGCATGTTCTGAGGACGGCCTCAGGCTCAGGCTCTGACAAGCACCACCCTGTCTGGGAACGTGGGACCCAGACACTCAGTGGAGAAGAGAGGGCTCCTATGCACCCGTGTACAAAAGCTCCTCCACACGGATGTCTGGGACCCAGTGCTGGACTGACTGACAGCCCACAGGTAGACTGAGTACATTCTAGGACACAAGCAAGAAAAGGGCAACACAGAAGAGAAAGACAGAGAGAATGTTCAATAATGTTCAAAGTATTCATTGTGGGAAAAATCGGAATGTAGCTGGATTTCCTTATCTCCTTGTTTATTTTGGATGGCTTAATAGTTTTCATTCTGAAATACACATAGAGGAGGTTCAATAATCTCTTCTGGGCCTGGACCAGCAAAGGTCTTACTGCAGGCCCCTGGGCACAAGAAAGCAGATGGGAATGGCACCCTGGGAACAGCAGGGAACAGCAGAGTCTCGGAGGCAGCCTGAGATACTGCAGGGCGCCAGTGACAACAGCCTGACAGTGAGGTTTAGCACCAGGAGGCTCAACAGGAACCTTAGCAGCGAAGGGCTGGGCTACCGAAGTCCATCCCACATTGTGACCTAGCTGCCAGGGGCCAAACACACAGAGAAAAGACCAAGTGGTAACTCAAGGCAGGAGAGAGGTGGATTTGGGCTTAGGTCTCCAAATCTGAGAGAGGGTAGACTGGGTGGAGTACAGCCCAAACACAAGGCTCCATGGACCTCAACAACAAAGGGCCACAAGGCCAAGGTAAGAGTGGTCCCTGGTTTGGCAAGCAGACAGCCACAGTCTTGCTTAGTTTCTGTAGTTGGGCTTTGGCGGGAGGAGGCAAATCCAAAGCAGTTCAAGGAACTGCTGAAAACTGGATGTCCACTTGCAGAGAGCCCCGGACCCAGGCTCTGCCCACCTTGCAGGACTGCATGCTCCTGACTGTTTCTGAAACAACATGGATGGCTAATTGGCTCAGGTTTGCAGATATCAGGGTGGCTGACGGGGTGAAGGTGATGCAGCTAATGCTGCTGGCAGAACTATTTCTGAGATGGATCAGGAGATGTGAATCTTCCAAAATAAGCAGAGCTGTGGATTTCCAGGCTAATGGTAGAAAGGACCACACTCTCAGAGCACACCCCCAGGGACCGAGACCTCATGCAGGCATCTTCACGCATAGCCCCATCTGCCACCACCTCCCATCACCTCTGAGAGCTGCACCCTGGATGAATGGCTGAACACTGCAGCTGAATTTCCTTATCTTTCCCGGGGGAAGATTATTTCCTTTAATTAGGGACTACTGATCTGTCAGTGTGACCTATATTTGCATTCATTCTTTAAGCAGATATACCACACTGTTGGCATATCATTAGGTTTGTGGTTAATGAGAAACCGCAGATCTTTCTCACATGACTAATAAACCACAAGCAGATTCCTACTAAGCCCACGTGTAGCCATGAAATGAGCTGAAGTCTGAGAATTGGAGAGTTGCTTATTGTCAACTCAAGGAGATTATCATTATTAAACATAAACATGCTATATGTTTTATGACTAAGAATATATATAGTAACTCTCAACAGCTTCATCTGTAGACATTACGATGACTAAAAATCAAGAAAAAAAAATGATAAAATTCCTGTAAGAGCAACAAAGAGTTTTCTGGAATCCCA